TATAATGAAAAAAAAAAATTAAATAACATATAAAAAATTAAAAGCAAATTATATGGAAAGATGTTCGCTTATAAATTCATACAAAAATAATATATGTTTTATAATATAATAAATATAAATATTCGTGTGTCAATTTAATAAGGTATTTATTGAAAAAATATCATATAATTATGTTAAAAATATTATTTGAAAAAAAATGTGAATATATTATATAAATATTTTTAATAAACAAAGAGCATTATGTGTTTCAATATACAATAACCTGAATAAACAAAATGTTTTTTTATTAAAACTATTTAAATTATACATAAAATAAAAATATATATAGATCAATATAGAAATTCATATATAAATTTTAAGTTAGAGAAATATTTGAGCATTATTGGTATATGTTTTAGGTATTTATATTATTATATGAATTAAAAGACATTTTTTAAAGTAAAATTTCTAAATTTAAATACATAAGATAATAGTAAAAATTGATAAATAATTGTTTTTATAATTCTTATAATATGTTTTACTATTATGAACATTGTGTGATAACGACATTTATTATATGAACATTTAAATTTTTATTATGTATCTTTTACTTTATTATATGAAGAAATGGAACTTATGGGTTATCGCTTATGTTTTACATTTGAATTTATTCATTTCATATACATATAATATTATCTGTTTTAAAATTTTTTTATTCATATGGAATAATTTTATTTCATGTAGGAAATGGTATTAAATCGAACTACACATCCACTTATAATAAAAAAAAAAATAAATCAACAACATATTAATAATATCCTTAATGATGTAATTCTAAATTATTACTTTTTATATATAAGATATGTGAAACTGATTAAATACATTTTAATTAAATATTTTATTAATATTCTTTTATTCTTTATTATCCTATACATAGTTTTAAGGAATAGAAAAAAATATACATATTAATTCATATTAAACCAGAAAATGTTATATTTTTTTATATTTGTATTAAATTCAATTAAACGTGCTTAACAAAAATAAATGTTCTAAAAAAAATAAGGTAATTAAAATATAATTATAGAGAGAAAAAATATTACAGAGAAAGTATTACCGTAAAATATAAAAGAAATGTTTTCTTATTTCAAGAAATTTAGAATATATTTAAATTATAGCATTAAAAATATATATAGAGCTAATTCTATAATTTTAGTACATAATTAAAATCGGTATTCCAATATGATCTTAACATGTCTATATATATATTTTTTATATAGTAAGTGAACATTGAATAGCATTATTAATAAGAATTTATATAACAATTGGAATATTAAATTATATTTTACATTTAACATTCTAATATAATTTTTTCATCTTACTACATAATTTATATATATGAGCCTTAATGTGCACGCATGAAATAATCTTAAAGTATAGCATAATGGTATTGTGTATTTACAATTTATTGCTACAATATTTAAATGCATGTTTAGAACACTACATAAAGAAATTAAGTCTTTATTAATTTTTATTAAGGATATTTCTTTTTATTTTTAACCAAACTTAATTTTTAATGTGCTAAATATATGAAAGTTTTGTATTCTTAGTATAATATATATTTATGTATACCATTTTTAAATTTCTTAATTAGAAATAATTCAAATAATGTAGAAATATACAAGTTAAGAATTTTACACTTATACATACATTATGCAGCATTATAATAGCATGCATTATACAAGTTATATAAATATTATTTTTAATTAAATATATTTTCTGATAACTCATATATTTAGTTATAATTTTACTAAATAACACAAAAAAAAACAATAAAATTAAAGAAAATTTAAATCTTAGTATAAATTAATAATGAATAAGATATAGCAATAATGTATTACACTGTAGGTTTTTATTAATTCTTTTGTATCCATTATAAGATATAAATCTAATGTTTTATTATTTAGTTAATGCTATTTATTCTGTTCATAAAATAATATATATATGAACAAAATTTATAATTACATATAACTAGTTAAATATTAAAAAAAAATTATAATTAAGAATTCAAATTAAAATAAACGAAAGTATTAGATTTTTATTATATATGTGTTCTTTTCTAATTTTTCATATAAAATATACTAAAATTATAATATGGCATATAATCTCTTATTAAATTTTTTTATAATTTAATACATTATATACAGGATAAAATAAAAATTAATTTTTTCATACAAAAAAACCTAGAGGGTATATGTGCTTTAGAAGAATATATAAAAAACAAAACGAAGGAATTATTAGAAACAATAATTTTTTATTTATTAGCATTCATAATATTTGGGGTAATATTTATGCTGTATACATTTTATTCTGGGGATACAAAACAAAGATTTTTGATAATTGTATATGTATATATAAAAAATGTACAAAAATAATATGTGTTTGTTGACAAAATATTCTAGAATGATAAAAATATTCGTTCATACAAATATTCACTATATGTTTTATATGTATTATTTTAAAGTATAATTAATGATTATATATTTCATGTATTATTATAGCTATTAAAAAATTTCAAAGTAAAATGAATCAGTGTGATTCATATATGAAATAATTTTTAATTCCATTGGATCTTACAAAGTGTTTTTTTTTTATGCAATGTCTAAAATATTATATTTTTATCTTTTGCCAAAATATACATAATAGTGTTCCATGTAAAAATGAAGATTTAAAGAGAAATAAAATATATATATAAATTCTAATAACTAGAAAACCCAAACAACTAATTATATGTTAGGTAAGATAAATATTAATACTCAAGTAGTTTTGTAAAATATAACTAAACAATTCATTGCACTGGATGTTATATTATTTCAATAAAAAAATTTAAACAGAAAAAAAAAAAAAAAAAACATAATTCCATTTCCTTTATAATTAATTCTTATTTTTTTGATAATAATATTTTATTTTCTATTACATAATATATTTATAACATCGAATTATTCTTATTCAAATGAGAAATAAAAATATTATAATTAATTATTACTTACTCCATGATACTTAAAACAATATTTATAAATATCATAATTTTTTTAAGATGTATTCATTATTTTTAGTACACTTGACAACAATAGATTGCATTATTTAATTTTTTGCGATTTCCATATTCGAAAATATAGTATAATGCAGTCTACTAATATGGACCCTTCGGTTTATTACATTTTGTCAATAGTATGTTTATTAATACATATTTTTACCCATTAAAATTATATTATACTTTTACAAATGCATTTCAAAAACAGCAATGATCATAAAAAAAATGTTTATATTATTTATATGTTTTTGTGTTATTTTATGTAAAAATATTTATAATGATTAAAGAATAAATGTATACTCCTTTTTTATTTTAATAAATATTACATTTTGATTAATATATTTTTTAATGGTATAACATGTACGTTGTTTTCTCTTTACAATATGATTAATAACTTATTCCTTTATATTAAAAGTATGGATCTCATATGAAATGTCATCTATTATATACGTTTTATACACAACAACAACACTCTAATAAATGGTAGTAATTTATATTTTCTTTTTTATTAGCATAAATATACAAAGAAAATATAGAGCACACGTATAAATCTATTAAATTAATTGCGGCATAGATACACACACATAAGTTAATATATTCTGTGGATATACATTACAAGATTTATTAAATTATTTTAGTGAAATTATTAAGTAATTTCAAATTATACTTCAAGTATATATTTTTAGTGTAATATTTTTTTACGATTTCAATTATATGAAGCCTATTATAATTTAGATATATATGTAAGGCCTTGGAATATAAAATGAATATTGCACTTTTAAATTTTTTATTGAATAAATATATAATTATATTTTTTTAAAAACTTACTTTAAAATATAATGTTATATACTTATTTTATACAATGATCATGATTATGATATAAAAATTACATGAAGCTATGTACAATAAAAAGGTAATGAATATAAACTAAAGTATATATAAGTGTTCTTATTCCTTTTGATTTACATAACAGGTGCAGTTTTATTATTACATACAACTTATGTATTCACACATAAAAAAATTATGTATATACTTACTTTTGTTAAAAATTCGGCAATTTATTTTTTAAATATATATTCCAAAACTTTTTTTCCTTATGTCATTGCTATCATCACAGGTTTTCAGATGTGTTTTTAATAATATTACATTTTTATTCAATAATAACATTCCATAATTTATTTCTTCTTCTTACCCAAAAAATTTATAGTTATGAAAGTTATAGTATAAATATACATTAATAAAATATATTAATAAATCCAGAAATTATATTATGCACTAATTATAGACCAGGAAATACTGTATTTATTAAAAGCACGTTGTAAAAATTATCATGAGCATATCATAATTTGCATTCATATATGTATACATTATTTTTAAATAAAGTAAATTGATAAAAAAATCACGGACTTTTAGATTAATTTTTGCTTTTAATATATACATTGTAGATTTAACTTCCCTCTTTTGTTATTATTATATATATCACTTATATTAATAGTTTCTACTTCCCTCATAAAATTATGGAACATTACTTATATTATATTACTTTATGCGTATCTATACATATAACAACAGATGCTATATAATTTTAGTATTATTCACGCAATCTATAACTTTATTATTAGTACTGTGAATATTTTTTCTTTTTTCAATCTATTTTCATTTACAAATTTATATAAATATTCTAGCATTTCTTATTTCTTAACGCGTTAAGGTGATTATCTCTAATATTTTCGTATTATTTAATACAACTCTTTTTTATTATATTCATTTTTGTATTCTATTATAACAATTTAACTATATTAAATATATGAATGATGCCATTTACAACTTATATAATAAAAATAATTCTCTTTTTATACATGTAAAAATAGCGTATATTGATATTAATTGTACTGCAATTAAAGTGTTGGAATATATTTGTTTTTAATATTTAGTAAGAACTATATAATATGTTATATCTGGAAACATAATCATGCATGTCCTGACACACATAAGAATTTATAAATGGTTTCCTTGCATCTAGTATTTTATTCTTAATATTATTTATGGAATTTAGAATTTTATTATAATAGTAAGATCCTAATGTGCTATACTATTGTTATTTATAATATTATACATTTAAGTATATAGCTATGTTATCATTAAACAAATAAATATAGGAAAAGATATAAATATTATTTTCCATTATAATTGTACACATAAGCATTAATTTTATTTACCTTACTGAAGAGAAGTAATAGGGAAAGTATACAGAAAAATGAAAATGTGAACACAATTATAATAATTTTTGTTGCCTTCCCAACCTTAGAAATAATGACAAACTGAGTTCGCTTATGGTCTATTTGAAGTTCATTAAACCATTTAGTTTCCTCTCTATTATAAGTTGCTAAATCAGGATGATTAAAATCATCTTGGGCCTCATTTTTAGTATCACATGAAAAAGACATATCTTCCTTATATTCTATATGCTTTTTAATGTATTCATTAAATTCATTACACAATGGAAATTTATTATTTGATATACACTTTAATTCTTTAAAAATATACATGATGTGTGCTTCTTTAAAATAATTGCAATATTTAGATTCTAATATTTCATCAGATTCTTCTTTTTCCTTTTTTTTTCTATCATATAATATAAAATAATCAAACATTGGTTTTATTTCAATAGTTTTGCTTAAATCTAATCTAAAAATACGACAGGGACTCTTAACATTTAGTGTATTTTTTGTATTTTCCCAAGCATCATATATCATTTTAATTTGTGGATCTTTATATCCTTTGCTTATTATTTTATCATGAAACCAATATTTTAGATACGTGCATAATTTATCTTCATTATCAATTATATCATTTATTTTTTGATCTTTACTTAATATTCCATTTAAATTACGTATAATTTTATTATAAAATTCTTCAATTTCCTCATCGTCGAATTTATAATAATCTACTGTAGGACAATAAATTTCAGTATCATAACCCTTACAGGACACATCAAAATAATAGTTATAGAGTTTGTATAATACATATTCCTTAAATGTACTGTTCTAAAAATTAAAAGATAGGTTAAATGCATCTGCACGTTTAAATAATATATTTTTGATTTATTTTTATGATTAAAAAAATTAAAACTATGATATAACATGTTTTTTACAAAAAATAACTACATACCTCTTGAGCAAACATATCTAGCGTATAGCTACTTACTTGTAGATCCATTGTAATTCTATATATATGTATATGCACTTTTTTATATGAATAATAATTATTTTTATTGATTACATATTTTTTCTTTGTTATATATTGATAAAAAAAATAATGGTATATAGAAACTCTTTTTAATGTATAAAAAAGTACAAAACATATAGAGTAAGCTAAGAAAAAATTTACACTTTTTTAAAGAACATATATATGCATCTATATAGAGCAAAGTGAAACATCATAATTTTAATAATTGAAATATGCTAAATTTAGTTTTATATATCATAATATTTATGCATATAAAATTTTTATGTAATTCTATGTTAATCATGTATAAGACAATTAATTTATTTTTTTTAAAAAGGCATATATGTATGTTAATGTT